ACGCAATAACGCTAGAGGGATAATTTTTTATTCCGATTTTCTTCTTTATTTTGGCTTTAGTCATCTGGCACATCACATGTGCAACATAGCTGCATTTACTGGAACAAAATTGCGGCTCCAATTTGGGGATTTTTCTCAAGGGGGGGACCCCATATTTTACAGAGTTATTTTTCATATTTAAAAATGCCATATTTCATTTAATTTTTGTGATATAGACAAAATTTTTTCAGGTTTCAACTTCGCTTGATGTGTTCTTTCGATCACATTGTAACAAATATGCATATTAAAAACTTCAAAAGTGCCAAAAACATGACGTCATCACTGTGACGTCACAACTTTGACATTCACTGATATTTTTCACGTAAATATAATTGGCAATAGGTCTCCTACTCATCTGCCAAGTTTTGTGTAGAAAGAGTCAATACTTTTTAAGTAAAGCGAAGTAACGTGAAATACCCAAGAACTGACGAAACATTTGGGGGGTGGTTTGGCCCCTACGTGTTCGGCTTTTGCTATTCAACAGAAACATAGAAAGAGACTATGATACATGTTATTAGTCGACTATGTTACCTAACATCTAATAATAAAGTTTCTAAAATAAAAGGAATACTTTGAAGTCACAAAGGCCTAGGAATACCGATATGGTGAACACTGCAGCAGACTGGTAAAGACCAAAATTAAAAGCCTATTCAGTTTGTTGGAAGATGCGGTGTAACCCCCTTTTAATTAATTGACTTTGTACATAATGTACCTCAGTTTTCATCACCGAAAGGCTTCATCTCTGACACGTTTCTGGTGAGCTCATCGAATTTGAATCTGAGTCGTCGAAAATTGTTTCGCTTTATATTACCCACGTTTGATGAGATCTGACTGAAAAACTCTCGTGAAACTCTCTCCCCCTAACTCCAAATGACTCACAAAACAATAAACTGTTTGAAAAATACTTAACATCTCTTGGCTTGCTCTAGTATTTCTGTTGTTTCAAGTCTTTAAAGCTTAAGGGAACTGCTTACCTTTTAATGCTTCGTCATCAATTTCTAAAGTCGGTGTGATGTCACTTTGATGTTTAACTTCAATAACACTTCGCGCCATTTTTAAAAACTGGAAAACTTAATTCTGTACAAATTTGAAAAAAGGAATCAAATGGAATCAGTGCAGTTATAACCTGATTTCCAACAATATCATCAACATGGTCTTTTTGCATAATTTCTTAATTCCTAGAAGCTTCTGTCCTTAAAACAATGCCAATGGTATAAATAACTAGGGGTCTTTCCCTATTTATAGAAACATCTGCCCTTGAAACAATAACTTTCTAAATTATGCCATAGTATAATTAATTGGGAGTCTTTCTCTAAATTCTTAGAAACATCTGTCCGTGAAGAAACAACTTGCTGAATTATGCCATAGTATAATTAATTAGGGTTCTTTCTTTAATTCCTGGAAACATTTGTCCTTGAAACAACAGCTTGCTGAATTATGCCATAGTATAATTAATTGGGGGTCTTTCCCTAATTCCTAGAAACGTCTGTCTTGAACAATACCTTTCAAATTCCCCATCCATACGTTCCTTTTTTTTTTTTTTTTTTTTTGAAATAACCAAAAATAGGCATGTATATTGAGTTTCCAATGAAATGATTCCTTGATTGTGGTATGTTTCTCAGAGGTGTTCGAAAATATCCCGACAGTTTGTTTTCGTTTTGTGGTTCTGTGGTTACTGGTCACGCGTGACAGACACCCAATACATTCTAATTTTTAACGCATGCTCAATATGAAATGTTGAGGCGGCTGGCAGTCTTCTTTAACTAGGAAACGCCACGCAGGCATGGACATCCAACAAGTGTATGGAGGTCCGTGTGATTTGATTTTGGTAGTCAGTGATGGTAAAGAGTTCAAGGCTCACAGAAATGTTCTTTCCGAAGCAAGTCCATTTTTTGATAAGCTTGTCAACTGCGATATGAAGGAAAAGAAGGAAGGAGTCGTTCGACTGGAAATGTTCACCGATGCTCAAATGGCAGATGTCCTGGAGTTTATTTACAACGGCGACATTCAAATCTTCACCCGAGAAGATGCCGAGAATCTTTTTGTAGCAGGAGATTACCTACTTCTTGCGAAACTTAAATCTATCGCTGCAGAGTTTCTCGCAAAAGCGTTGTCAACTTTCAACTGCGTTTCAACTTTCCACATTGCGAATATGTATTTTTGCGAGAAGCTGATTTGCAGCACCCGGAAATTCATCCTTTCAAACTTCACTGCTGTCGCAGCGACGGAGGACTTCATGAACTTAACAAGCCACGAACTGGAGGAATGGATTGCCAGCGACGAAATTGTGATCAGCGCCGAGGAAGAGGTTTTTACGATCATTCTACGCTGGATTAATTGCACCAGAAGCGAACGAAACGTAGAATTTGGCAAGCTCTTTCGTCATGTGCGCCTTAACTTTATCGCGCGTGACTTTTTGCTCAGTGATGTCGAGACCAATGATCTTGTGAGAGAAACCAAGGAATGCTTCGATAGCGTGACTGAGGCCTTAACGAGGCTTGATGATGCTTGCGGTTGTCTTGCTCCTCGACCAGAATCTCGGCCTAGGAAATCCCTTGAGATTTGTGGCATCGTAATGACTGGAAAGGCGGCGTTCTGCACATTTTTCTACGTTCCTGAAAAAGACCAATTTTATCGTTTACACAAAAGAGACCAGCCAAAGAGTTTGCCGAAGCACGCACATGCAATTTCTTGCCGTGGTAAACTGTTCCTTGTTACTGAAGACATCATCAGTACACAGGTTTATGATCCATCATTTAACCGCTGGTCTCCAGCTCCGTGGACAAAATTCGGTACACACTTGAAAATGATCCCTGGGCTTCAAATCCTTACAGCGGTGTTAGTTGTTGGAAATGAAGTCTGTTTTGTTGTGGAAGAAAGGGGAGAGGATTTAACGTGGCTCTGGAGATTCAACCTCGATTTGAATTCTGTCATTGCACCAACACATCCCGTTGATAAAAAGTCTGTCTGTGCTGTGGCTTGGGGCAGGCATATCTACATCATCGGTGGGTCAAAAGATCTTGAAGCCTTGAGGCAGTGCTCACGATTCGATACCATGGAAAACAAATGGCAGGAGGTATCGGGTTTGCCCTATGGGAGGTACGGAGCTCATGGAGTCGGCACAAAGGAAAAGATATACATTGCTGGAGGTAGTGATGAGTGGTCTGAACCTGTGTTTAGTTGTGAAGTCCACAATGTGTTTAGTAATGAGTGGAGTCTGATTGGTAGTTTAAGTTGCCCTAGTGTGAGAGGCATGGTAGTCTGCAATGAGTTGTTATATGTGGTTAGTGCCAGCATGGTTCCTTACATCCAATTTCTCAAATTAGAGATTGAGTGCTACGATTATGAAAAGGATGAATGGACAGTTAAGAAGAGCATTTATTGCAACGCAGATGTAGCCATTAAGGGGAAGGCCTCATCATTTAGTTTTTTTAAAGGAGATCTTGACAAATTGAAGCCCTTTCATGAAACTGGGTTGAATTTCACTAGTGGTGATACAGGGTCTATGTTCACTGATCACCATTATAATTGGGATCATATACTCGAGTATTATTAAGTGAAGGGGACTCTCAGAGACCTGGCGTTAGCACGCAATGTGACACCCTAAAATCAAGTGAATAATGAATATATTTCTTTGTTTCTTTTCTGACGGTTCAGATTTCAGAGCTTTCTTCAGAGGTCGAGTCCTTGTATAAAAGTGTAAGGAAAATTAAGGGAAGCTCCTTGCCATTAGGGTACTGTCACTGTGCTGTACTGTACTTTACTGTACTGTAACAGAAAGGTCAGCGTAAAAGACGTTTCTTTGTGGATCATATGTTATGATTTGAGGGATCTGACCGTCCTTAAGCCATTTTTTTCACTACACTTTGGTTTTTACTTAAATAATTTGCATGCAAGTTTACTAGGCTTTCTCACTAGGAAAAAAAGACTGTTTGAAATGTTGGCTAGCTGTTTTTTTTAATAGTCCACTGTTAATAGTAAAAAGAACAGAATAACAAAACTGATCTGTTGATAGAGTTTTGTCCAAAAAGGGAGACAAAAGGATAACAGCAATTGTAATATAGCGGTAATTTACACAGGCTCAGTGCTACCTGTTATTGGTTGACTTGTGGTCATGTGGTCTTGGTGAAATCGAACTGGCAACCTGTTGTATATTGTATTATACTGGTTAAATAGTACTTAAGATATTCCTTTTACAGTTTGATTAGCCTTTAATTTCTCATTTAAACCTATTGTACACCGTTCTAAAACTAATGGTAGATGCGGTAGTCCAAAAAAAGCGATTAAAGGCATCATAAGCGTACTGTTTCTCTCACCTTTTGGTCATTTCGCTTTGTTATTCGTTTGAAAGGTTGAAGCTAAAAAAAAACCCGTAATTTAGCGTGATGTCTGCGTTGGTCGAGTTATCCCGCTTGTCCAAGTCAAACCGCACATATGAAAAATAATTTTGGCTTGACTAGCCGGGTCAGCCTACCATCGCGAGAGGGGGACCTGGCTAAGGTAAAGGAAGACTTTTTAAAAAAATATTATTAAAGTACATACAAGTATTGAACAAGGAACAAGTACAATCAGTTAAACGAGTACAGAAAATTTCACAAAGTAGGTACGAAACAGAAATTTAAGTTTAGTACATGTATATGTATGTATATATTGACACAAATTTTGGAAAATTACTAATCATTACAAAAACAAGGAACTCTTGATATTGTAGCTTCTACATACACTCAAGTTCACATTGCTTTAAACTATCGAAAGGATTTTTCAAAACTGTCACTACGAGATTCATGAGGATCTGAAATCATGGACCCCTGCCGATGTTCTACGGTTGAACCGTGTCAACAATGAGTTAACACCATCACGTTCTAATTACCAGGGCCGAGAAATGTAGAACTTTTAAATTATCCTGGCAAAGAGACAGTCAACGTGGTCAAGCGCGAGGTGAGCAAAAAGCATGACTTGCGTGTGATGATATAAGAAAAAAGAGAAACTGTCAAGCCTCGTTTCCCCTTTAAGTCGCTTGCACTCGAATGAGAAAAGGGTCGTCTCCTCAACTGTGAGGTCGTGCTGCCCTGGAAGCTACAAAGAAAAAGAAAACTACA